TTTCAAGTATCAATTAGTAACTCTATTGTAATTATTCAAAGTGATTGTTGTTATATTTTATTTGAAGCATTATCTTCAAATTAATAATAATTACTCTTGTTCTTTTTTTCAAGTCTAGATGTTACTAAAACCATGTCTTAACACTGAGACACTACTGTGTCTCCAGATAAACGTATTCCAAATACTTGATTCAACCTACCCGATTCAATTTTTATATTTTTTCTATTTCCATAAGCATCCAGCCACTGTTGACAAATATTAATTTTTTTTGGAAAGCGATAATATGTGATGCCTTTTGTGTTAGAACGGAATGTACGACTAGTACAGTTTGGAATACAACACGAAGGCATAGTTTCTACAAATCAAATATAATATGATAATTATTTCGGGAAGAAGTTGATAAATTACAATAAAAGAAAGGTTTTTGGGTAATTATACAGTTTAGGATCCCCATTCCAAAAATCAATAAAATTAGGCTCATTCGACGCGTTTTTGCATAAAATGAAAAAATATGACAGAAAAAAGTATCGCTCTGCCCTGCAAACCGAGATATTAAGCGTTAAAGTTGACGATTATTGGACAATTGAGGTTAGGAAATCCGTCACAAAGACAAAATAAGACGTGGAAAGTCCAAACCCATGTGGAACAATACAATTATAGACCTCATTTTGTCTCTGTCAACGATTTGAGAATTCATTAGTTACAATTTCATTTTATGAAATTCTGTAGAACAAATAGATATATTAAAATAATAAATTAGTGTGAATAAGAGGTACAGAATCAAATAACTTACGTTAATTTATATAAAATACTGTAATCAAAACTCTCAATCACAGATCTGGTTAAGTATGCGCTTTTATCTCTAAAAATCTGTAGATGCATGACGTAAATTATAACATGTTAGCGCGTTAACATCTTTGTAAGCGCGTTCTTGAATACGGGCCACTGTGATTACGGTCAATATAAACGCTCCCTTAAGAAAATCATTTCATGCTAGTACTACCTTAAGTATATGGCTATTGCTCGCGCTAGATCGCCGACTGATGGCGTTGATCGCGCCTGTCATAACCGTCCTTGAAATGGCATCCCTGCGTTTCGGGTATTGTGGGGCATTGTGGGGTGTTGCTTGCTTACATTGAAAGTTTTGTGGCGCCAATTGCGCTACTTTCGGGTTTTATGCGTTTTATTTGATTATTTTCAAGGATGCCGGCGTTCTTGAAGCATATCGAAGTTGACAATTTCAAATCTTATAAAGGAAAGCTTATTATCGGCCCGCTAAAGTCATTTACAGCTGTAGTTGGCCCCAATGGATCCGGTAGGTTATCATTCTGTGTGTCAACAATGGTGCGTTCAGCGAATGCAATGCTTAAATGAGTTTTTTTTTATCAGGAATAGCTATACATTTTTAGATTTGTTGAGTCAGTTATATTTTGATTTTCTAAAGGCCACTCATTCAGTCATTGAGTTCGCTGAATGCAGGTATAGCATTAAATGCTGAAAGACATAAGTAGATCGTATGTGACTGTGATATGTTACATGATTGTTACATGTGTGCTACAGGAAAGTCCAATTTTATGGATGCGATCAGTTTCGTCATGGGCGAGAAGACTAGCAGTCTACGAGTCAAAAGATTCAGCGAGCTGATTCATGGTGCATCCATTGGTATGCCAGTAGCACGAAGGTAATTTATATATATGTATACATGATATTTATTTATGGAATTGTACAGTATAATTTGTATGTTTCATATTGAATTACATAAAAACTGTAAATTGTTCTATTAATTACAGTGCTTCAGTAACAGCTGTATTTGAGTTGGAAGATGGAACTGAAAAAAGCTTTATGCGTTCAGTACAAGGTTCTTCTTCTGAACACAGAATTAATAATAATGTAAGTTTTGCAGTTGAACTTTTATTTAGTTGCATTTAAGATCTTCAAAATCTTTTTGTTATAGGTTGTTACCAGTCAAGTTTATCTTAATGAGTTGGAGCACCTTGGTATTAATGTTAAAGCAAAGAATTTTTTGGTATTCCAAGGTGCTGTTGAATCTATAGCCATGAAAAATCCAAAGGAGCGCACTGCTCTGTTTGAGGAGATCAGTAATTCTGGTTCATTAAAAACAGAATATGAAAGGTAAGTTTCAAATGTCGCTATATGTAGTTGCACCTGAAATGTATTTGTAAATGATAAAAATAATATTGTAGACTAAAAACAGAAATGCTAAAAGCTGAAGAAGAAACTCAATTTTCATATCAAAAAAAGAAAGGAATTGCTGCCGAAAGAAAAGAAGCAAAATTAGAAAAAGAAGAGGCTGAAAAATATCAACGTCTCAAAGAAGAATATGTGCGTATATGCTTTGATTTTGCTGTAGTAGTTAAGGGAGCATAGAATTTTTTTGGCTTCATAAAGTATTTTTCATGTTTCTTTTTTCTAGAAAAGATATAAACTACAAGGATTGAATTTTTTTTGTAAATGGAAGTACATATTTTTAACTACTAATCACAATTTTTTATTTTATGTTTCACTGAAAAGAATCCCCTTAATTAATATCATATATGTCAAATAAAAAATTAGAATTATAAAATGGGATTAACTGATCAAAATTAAAAAAAATACCCCAACAATACAGACAAAACTTCTCAAAATGTTTTAAGACTTTTTTAGATGTTGACTTGTGTTTATCTGGATATTGTCAAAACTTGAGCCAAAAATATCTCGATTTTGTGCTAAAGCTATTCTATTTTACAGTATATAAAATATGGTATATACCACATTAAGTTATTTAAAAGATTTTAAAATGTGATTCCTCACACGAAATCAAGATAAACATCCATTACACTTAATGCAATGGCTTAGATTAAATAATAAACGGTATTTAAGTTGAAAGAAATTTTATTTTTT